AGGTCACATTTAAAATGTAATGTGAACGTTCACACAAAAAGATCGGATTTTTTCAAAAAATCGGAACTGAGCATTAAGACCTGCAGTGTGAACGTAGCCAGATTTTTTAAAATAAAAATAACTAGTTGCACAATATCTTGTACAATGTTTAACACGTGGGTTCTCGTGTTCTGTTTTTTTTTTTTTTCAGAAAGCCATATTATGTCCTCCTAACATTTAAGGCGGGTCTAAACAATGCTTTCCTTCCTCGCCTCTCTCCACAGGCTCCTCCTTTGAAATCAACAGCCACCATCGTCTGTTTCATTTCAACAACTCAGGCCAGTCTGTGGAGTCTGTTAACGATGGCTTCAGTTCGTACCTGGTGAGCCTTTGCTTCAAAAACATCCCATTTCTTTCTGGATCTTTTTCAGTTGAGTATACTGAAATAGTTGTGTGACTTATGTCTTTTTTTTTTTTAAACACCAGAGAACCCCCACCCCTCTGACTCGCTCAGACAGTGGAAACTCCGACGACAACTACGTGCCCATGAACCCCGGCTCGTCGCCGCTCAGCGCCGCCCAGGCTGACAGCCCGAAGAACAACTACATTCCCATGAGCCCCGGGCCGCATCATTTCGACTTCCCGGGGTTCTCTGCGACGTTACCCGCCCGTAAGGGGAGCAGTGCCTCCTTGTGCCACCGACCCGGTCGCCTCAGTGACGTCACGCCGCCGCCCATCAACCGAAACCTCAAACCTAACAGGAAATGTGAGTTTTTGAAACTCGTCGTTAATTTAGAGGCATGTTTGTTTTTTTATTTGTTGTCTCTTTTTTGGGGAGGACTCTTCGTTCTGTTTTGTTGTTCGTATAAAGATCCTGGTTTTTGTCTGGTCTCATTTTGCTTCAGCAAAGCCAACGCCTCTCGACTTGAAGAACAATGGGATCATTGATGAGCTGCCGTATAAGAGCCCCGTCACCATGTCTTGGACACGGCCCATGTGAGTCCTAAATCAGGCATTTATTAGATTACCAAAGGTTCCTCACACACTGCTGCAGCGTTTCCTACAAGGCTTGTTCCCCGATGTTTGACTTCAGGCCTGCTGTGAACTCCTCCCAACCCTGCCGACCCATCTCCACACAAAGCATCACCAGCACTGACTCTGCAGAGAGCGAGGAGAATTACGTGACTATGGTAAGCTCCACCGTCTGCTGGGAGGGGTGCCTCTGATCAACTTGCTTCGTTTTTGCATCATGTGTGAGTGAAAGCTCTGTTTGGTCCCACCAGCAGAATCCAGGACCTACCTCCCCGGCCGTGAGCGGCACCAGCAGCCCAGCCTCTCGCAAGTGTAGCAACGTGGACTACTTAGCCTTGGACTTCCAGCCCGGCTCACCCAGCTCACATAGAAAAGTGAGCGATATTTGTATAAATGCTTAATCAGCTTTTTTTTTTTTTACAAATATTTTCTCCACAGAAATACATTAAGCTCTTCACATTTCTTACTATAATTGTGTCTTTTTTGCTTCAATCTTTTTAGCTACCATTTTTTACTTTAATTAGTTTGCCTTTTGTGACTTTACGCTATTAGCTAGCCTTTTGATACTTAGCTAGTCTTTTTCTACTTTTACTACAACTGTTAGCATAACAGTTTTAGTTTTAGCTAAAATGTATAACAGTTTGCTAAAAACCTGTTTTAGTTTTTATTTACCATTTTGCTACACTTTTCAGCTAACCTTTTGAGACTTCTAGTCTCTTACCTATTTGACGCTTTTAGCTTTTTAACTAGTCTTTTTCTACTTTTACTACAACTTTTATGCTACATTTTAGCTTGAGCTAGTGTTTTGCTCATTTTAGCTTTTAGTTACCGTTCTGATACACTTTTCAGCTAACCTTTTGATACTTCTAGTTTCTTCCTATTTGACGCTTTTAGCTTTTAGCTAGCCCTTTGCCTCTTTTGGATTTTACCTTGTATTTCACTTCTTTTGCCTTTTTACGGAGCTCGTCCGTTCACATTGGATAAAAATAATAATCCTGAGAATACTTTCAGCAGACTGTTAATTATTTACATGTACAAGTTTGAGTTTTTCTTATTTTATCTTATTATAGGAATGAATGACATACTTCAGTTAGTTACATTAAGCTTTAAGTAAGAGTTATGTTGTGTTCAGGAACACAGTAAAAAATCAGTTTCCTGACACACACCTTGGGCGTTCATTGTTGTCTCATAAATAGCCTACTATGAAAGATGAACCATTTATATTAACATACACCAATTAATATTATTATTAAGTATGGGGTAGGCTACCTTTAAACAATTCAAAACAATGTCTGTGGTTATCCTGACTGGGCTTTCCTGAAAGCAGACAGGAAACACAGACAGGATTCCATGCAACCTTCAGGTGAAAATGAAGACCCCAAACCCAGACCCAAACCAGTGGTTATTCCGTATGTTGCAGGTGTTTCGGAGAAACTGAGACATTTATTTTCTAAACATGATGTCCCAGTAGCTTTCAAACCCCAAAACACATTACGGCAAAGGCTGGTTCACCCCAAAGATCCGGTGCCCCGGCACAAACAGAGCAATGTTGTATATGCTGTTAAGTGCCAGGAGGACTGCGACCAGTTATACATCGGGGAAACAAAGCAGCCACTGTTCAAAAGAATGTCCCAACACAGACGAGCTACATCTAATGGCCAGAACTCTGCAGTTTTCACTCATTTACAGGCCAGCGGTCACTCTTTCAGAGATGAGGATGTTCTCATTCTTGATAGAGAGGAACGTTGGTTTGAGAGAGGAGTAAAAGAAGCCATTTTTGTGAAGAAAGACCGTCCATCATTAAACAGAGGTGGAGGCCTCCGTTTTCAGTTGTCATCCTCCTACAGCGCTGCCATTGCCAGTATCACTCCACCCCCTGCTAACAATAGGTGTTAATTAGGTGTCAACGATAGCCATGTGATGTGAGTATCAGTCACATGGAGGCAGTGCTTAAAAGCCTGAATTTTGCCTGAAACTCTCAGACTGAAGAAGTCTCTTGGAGGAGAGACGAAACGTTTCATTAGAGAAGAACCCGTCCAGAAGACCTATACAATTTTTTTTCTTTTTGATTTTTTACCTGGATTACTGAGATGCATCAGGACATCTTTTCTAGTTTAGATGTTCTGTTTTTGTTTTGTTTTTGAAAACTTAGCACTCTATCCTCTCGCTCCACAGCCCTCCACATCCTCTGTGACATCTGACGAGAAGGTGGACTACGTGCAGGTGGACAAGGAGAAGACCCAGGCACTGCAGAACACCATGCAGGAGTGGACGGATGTGCGGCAGTCTACTGAACCTGCCAAAGGAGCCAAGTCCTGACACTGACTTGTACTAAAAAAAGACCAAAAACTGAACTCCATTCTTAAGTCAAGCGTCTCCAGTATTATGCTTGTATCACTACCATAAATACTATTGGGCCTTGTTTTAAGACTTGCATTGTTTTTGGTAAGAAGCCATAAATATCTCATGCCTGTTCTCTCCATGATCACCATTACTGCAGTGCACTGCTTGCATGCAGAGGATCAGGCCATAAAGGTAATAAGCCCTGCCAAAGCTTCAAACCCAGACTGTTAGAAGAGTAGAAGACAACGTGCATCATCCTGTCAGTCCAATCTTCAGAAATACTTTGTATGATTAAAGCTGTCACCGTTCATTTAGCCTACATTTAAAAAGAGCAACATTTGTCTAACTGGTTAATATTTACCACACTGTGACAGTTTGCTTACAGGTCTCAGGAAAGCAAAGAATCTGTCCACTCCTGGCACGCTGGCAGACTTTCTCCTTCACTTCATCCTGTCATTCTGTGTCAGTCCTGCAAGAAGCAGGGAGAGGGATGATTTTCACTGTGAACGCTTGTTTCAGCTTAACAGTGCATGTCTGCTAGGAGCCAGGCGGGGGGGGCGGGGAAATAGCCATTCGAATATGCAGAGGCCTGCGTCCGAATCCTTAATGATAACTGCACACAACTGTTGCCTTGGTTTCATTTAGGTTTGAGCCCAAACCACACTTAAGAGCTGCCAGGTTGGATGGCAGGCTAATTATTTTAGTGCAGTTATCAAGTCATTAATGTACAGAATGATGAGAAGAAGACAGCAGACTTCTTTCTAAAGTGGATTTTAGATATAAAATGCATTTTTAAATAAATGTTCACTGACTAAACTGAATTTAAAAAGAAAAAAACAAGAACTCTCTCTCTCTCTCTCTCTCTCTCTCTCTCTCTCTCTCTCTCTCAAAGTGAATGAAGACGTTTTTGTCTCATAAATTTGTCTTCAGGCACTGAAAAGTAACTGTATGTAAATTACTAACACAATTACAAATATTTAAGTGCTTCTTGTTGACTAAAGTTGATGCACTCGTCGAAGACAAAAAGTGCGCAGCAGTAATTGACGTGGCAGCCTGCCAGATGAGAGGAAGTCTTTGATTTATATTTCAGTTTTTGTTCGGCCTGTCGATTTAGCCTTCTGAAAATTAAATTATTCAGAATGGTATTCATATGAGGACCATGTTGTATTTCCAACTCTGTTTCTAAAGCGTTGGGGCCACCGTGAAATGTAAAAATAAGAATAAAAAAGGTAATGAATTGCAAATATAAACCATTATTATTATTATGGATAGTAAGCCTATGAAATTAAGAAATTGTACAATTGTTTATGAATCATGTAATTTTCAGATGTGTTGGCAGCAACAGGTCTTCAGAAAAAAATTTCCCTCCTGTGAAGCTGCCTCCATTTCAGGGCTGTTCAACTAAATCGCTCTCGGGGGACGGGGTTACTGGAAACCCACGACTTGTGGGGGCCTGACTTGGGGTGGGGTGGGGCATTAATGGTAGGTGAAACACTGCAGCATTTAAACAGAACAAGTATAATCTTTTTACCTTTTTAATTTATTTTTTGTTGCATTGAAATATAAATTTTAAATTGAAAAATGATTTGAAATCTATTTTTATATTAAATTAAGTTATTATTATTATTATTATTTGTTTTGTTGGTGGGGGGACGGGCATTGGTGGGTTGAATGGTAGTCAGCCCTGGGCCAGGTGTGGCCCACGGGCCATCAGTTGAATTGCCCATCTTTATTTATTTAAAAATCATGTTGAAGCCTCAGGTGGTACGGCAGGCTGTTTAGAATATATCTCTTCTATCAAATTAAAAACTCCCCCACCCCCCCATACACACACACAGCTGTACAATTTCTTAGATTCAACGTTTACTATCTGTACTATAATCCATTGTGGAATAAATCTGAGTTTAAACGATGTGAAAATCATTACATTCTGCTTGTTTTTACACTGAAAACTCTGCCCTAACATTTCAGAATTTGCGGTTGTTGAACGATGAAACATGATCAGTTTCTAGCTTTAGTAAAGTCCAGTGTTTCAATGTGGGCTGGAACCACTAAGGGTTGAATCTCAGTTTTATCTTAAGACAATAATGTGGCCATGCAGTAGTTGGTGTTGTTGGTTATTATTATTATTATAGATATTTTTTTATTTTTGAATTTTTGTATTCTTTTTGATCATGATTTTTTACGACTTTTTTACGTGTCGGCAACTGTTACACATAAGGATGAACACAGGCTACGTTAAGCTTTCAGAGTGTATTTAATTCTCTTTTTGAATTCCCAGATAGTTTTATTTTATTTTATTTTATTTGAATGAGGTATTCATAAAACGGGATGGCTGACGTTTGAAGTCGGACTGGCACAAAGCATTCCCAGACGAACTGTGATTTCTACAGAGGAAAGGAAGGATTGAAGACGAGCGTGTCGCTCCCTGAAGTGTAATTTATTATCTGGAGCTATATCTGCTGAGCTGAGCGCAGGAGAGCTGTGTGCGTGTGTGTCGTGGTAGACTGTGAGCCGTGCTGTGTTGAAAAATGACAGCCTGGACTGGGCGAGACTGAAAACACGGCTCAGATCTGCTGCCAGACCTGCCACCGAGCCGCTGTACTGTACTGTACTTATAGGAATCTGATTTTTTATTATTTTAACCACTGTTATTGCTACTACTGTAAAGCATTTCGCAGACTGCTTGTGTGTTAACTTATTAATTTATTGTGTGTTTTGCAGTTAATTGTAAAAAAAGAAAAAGATTGAGGAAAATTTCTCTCTACTAACTAGATGTATGTTTTTTTTTTTTACATTATGAGGAGCAGTGTCATTGTGTTGGTAATGTGGTACACTTCATTTGGGATACACAAGAATACAAGACTTTGTTATTCCTGTACAATGGTAAGCTTAAACTGTGGACATAGAATAAATCAAAAGTTAAAAGTTGGTATTAAAGTTTCTTTGTAAATGGAAACCTAATTACTTTTCTAACAGTCCCTTTAATAATGTTTCTGCTGTTTTTTTTTTCTCCACAGCTGTAATGTTGACTATGGAGGACTGAAACTGGCATAGTTAGAAATAAAAGCAGAAATATATAAATACACTAAAAATGCACCAATTAAATTAAGGAGAACTTTACCTCATGTTTTATAATTTATTTATAATATATATAATACAATTCTTGCGCAGTAGATCTGTACATGTTCCTTCCTGTCTGTTGACCAATAGGAGAGGAGCTGGCCCGAGAAGGACCGCCCACCTTATTTGCATAATGAGGCAGAAATAAAAACAGGAGACAGAGAAATGTAAAAGCAACACAGAAATAAAAAGACTTGTGGGAAAATAATCAAAAAAATTAAACATTTAAGAGACAAAAGAAAAAAATATATTTTTAAAAACATTAAAATGTAAATTATGTGCTAAAATATATAATTTATTGGAACTGAGCTGGAAAAATAAACATGATGATCAATTAAATTATACAACATGAGGTAAAGTTATCCTTTTTTTACTTTAATTTATCAGTTTTAAGTGTATTTATATATTTATTGGTTCATTTATATTTTTCAGCTTTTATTTCTAATCATGGCATTTTTGGTCCTCCATATTCACGACCTCTGATGATATTATTGGTTAAAAGGTGAAGCGTATGCTTCTTAACTAATCACTGCTGCTAAATGTGGATTCGTTTAAAACCAAAGCATTAAATACATCACTGATATTTGTGTTGCTGATATTTATAAGAATACATTTCAGTTTTAACTGAAAGCTGCACAGTAAAAAGCAAATGTAACACATGTAAGGTTTAGCTTTATATAAAGGAATGCAATGCTCAAAGATATACTAATTTGGAGCCATTTTTGTGTGGGCTAAGGTTGAGAAGCTGTGGTGGCCATTTTGAATTGGATTGACTCCAAACGTTAATCAGTTGTAGATGTGCTTTAAATGATTATTTCCTGAACGTTTCATTAAAATCTGCCCGGTGGTTCATGAGCTAACAGACACACAAACAAACACAAACATTCTTGCTCTGCATTTGGTGCTAATCACCAAGTCATAAGGTTAGGTTAAAAACATTAACATTGCTTGAAATAAATTGCATCATCAGTTGTTTTAAGTCAATCAGGCAGAAGTCATGTATAAATAAATGTCTCTGCAGCTTGTAAAACCACCTTTTAGCTGCAAAAACTAAATAATTTATCTTGTGTTTGACCTTATCGGTGTTTGAAATCAGTATGGAGGAATTTTGGCATTCTTCTTTACAGCTTTGCTTCAGTTTATTTGGGTTTGCTGATGTGTTTACACACATTTTAAGGCCTTTGCATGGCAGGTTAAGGTCCAACTTTTACTGGAAGACTCAAACATTTAGTTTTTTTTCTGTCATTTTGTTGTATATTTGCTGCAGTGTTGAAATGTTCCAGATCAGTAAAGTGCTATAACATCTGCTTGTATAGAGGCGGTCACAGCCGCCCATGTTCTGCTAATTAAGAGCTTTTAATTAGCTGCACCTGGTTTCCACTCAGTCTGTTCATTTCTATGGAAACAGTGAGGGTGGCTTTTCACTTTTTCACACACTTCTTCTGAGTTGTGACAAAGATTTTTTTTTATTATCCGATAAACATTTCCAACATATGCCTGACTTTAGGATTATATGACATGAGTAGTTGCCATACAATTCGATATGTTTGCCACAGCTAACAAACTTGGAAAACTTTTACAGATATTTGACAGATATTAACAAAAGTTTTGGTGTGGTAGTAGCTGAAAGCAGATCTGTTTTTAAAACCATTAACTTATAGAGCCAACTCTGATTAGCAAAACTATTGATCAACCACTGATCAAACTTTTATATAGTAACCATTAATGATTGAGATTTTTCTCTGCAACCAACTGACTTCAAAAACAGAAAAAAAACTGTTACTTTTACAAATACTGAGCAAAACCAAAATAATCCACGACATATTTGGTGCACTACATTGTGCACCTTTTTTCTCTGTTTTGCTCAATAATTTGTCTTTAATTGTTGGTCTTGGCCTGTTAGCAAAATAACTCATGAAACCCTAAATGGGTTTTGATGAAACTCCCAGAAATAAATTACTGCACGTGCATCTACAACTGATTAGGTTCTAGAGCAGTGGTTCCCAAACTTTTTGTCTTCTGACCCACAAAATATCCATGGCAAAAACTTGTGACCCCAAATATTACTGGTCTGAGTACACGAACTTCATTAATAACCCTAAAAACACAGGCTTTTTGACGATCTAAACAGCTTATACACAAATATAAATACTTTTTTTTACTTATTTTGTGTTTTTGTAATAAATATAGGGAAAATATTACATCAGCAAATATTTTATTCCCCTTTAAATTGATTTCTGGAGATTATCCAAGGTGCTTCATGACCCATAATTGGGTCCCAAGCCCAACTTTGGGAACCAAAGTGCAGTGGTTCCCAAACTTTTCAGCTTTTGACCCACAAAATAGTACAAAACAGTAGAAGAGTGCCTCCAAACATTTGTCTCAGGTCAACAAAACACAGGCATAGTAACAATATTTATTATGCTACATTTATCCATTTTAAATACACTAACCTCACTCCTTTGTAACAACTAAGGCAAAAATGTAATTAATTCAGAAAATCTTTTCAGGACCCCACCTTGATGTTTCGGGACCCTACTTTGGGTCCCGACCCCAACTTTGGGAAACACTACTAGAGTCATGGCCACCACAATGAACTGAAAATAACCACAAAACAAAAAAATAGCTGTAACTCTGTCACCTCTACAGACATTTCCCCAAAATTTAATGAGACGGTAGCTGAGAGTCAGACACATCACATAACCTGAGATGGACGTCTTGCAACAAATTATAAGCTCGTGCAGATCTCCAATAAAGCAGTTTTTCATTATTATTATTTAAAGTTATTGCAGTTCTACTTTCTCTCCACTAGAGGGCGCGTATGAGCGCACTTCTTCCCAGAGAAGCGCTTCATGTCGGAGGAGGAATGTTCGCACAATGAGGGTCTGTGTAGCAGCGGTGCTGTTGCATCGCTCCGCCACACGGACAAATGACTGTCAGTGGACTGGTTCCCAGTCGGGCACTGAAGCGGCTCCCTGCCTTTCGCCTTCAGGAGGCTCCCCTGTGGCAGGAGATGGAGCGAACAAAGAGAGGAAGGACTTGTTTTCCAACAGCGTGAGTCTGGAAGTTTTGTTTTAACAGCTTCCGCGTCGCGTCTTTTGACAGTGGCACTCTGATGAGGGGGGAATGATGGCCGTGGTGAAAGTCCGCTTGTGCGTGCCGCGGTTTTGAATCATCCGACACGGGCTGCTGGTGCTGCTGATTGCCGCCCGCTCGTCTCCCGAGCGCAGAGAGGGTCGCGTCGGTTTAAGGAAGAGCGGACGCCCACGAGACTTTCATGCTCGTGAATAATCTCAGATTTAATTATAGGCTGACACATCCGCCTCTGGGGAGCCTGGGAAAACAGTGTGGGAACTTTGGACCTCATCTTCATTTATTTCTTTTATTTTCAAAACGTGGTTATTGGAAAACCTGATTTTATATATAAAAAAAATCTTGTTTTGTTTTTATTTTCCACATGTTTTTCCACATATTTTTAATTAATTTTTAATTTCCACGAGACCTGAGCTTTCCGAAACTTGGAGGGTATGGGAGAGGCGACCCCCGCTCAGTCCGCGGCGGGGACCTTCGTGCCCATGCTGGGTGTGGGATTGGGGGCCCTGGCCGGTGGTGGGGTCGTCGGCGGACCGGCGGCGGCCGGGGGCCCCCCCGCCTCCAGGGGCTCCGCGGTGCCCCAGCTGAAAAACGCCATCGTGGAGCGCCTGCGCGCCCGCATCGAGTCGTGCAGGCAGCACCACTCCACCTGCGAGAACCGCTACCAGCGGGGCCAGCACGAGAGCTCCGACCGCGAGCACAAGAGCACGCTCCACCTGCTCAACATCATCCACCAGGGGCCCGGGAACCGCAAGGTGAAGGGCGGCCGGGGATCGAACCAGCAACCTCCCGACTACAGCAGGGGGGACAGCAGGGAGCTGAAGGGCCCCGACGGGGAGCAGAAGATCCTCACGCGCCTCGCGGTAAGTTTGGGGCTACACACCTGACCTGCAGGGGTCTGCAACCTGCGGCTCTGGGGCCACATGTGGCTCACTGGTCCCTCGGCAGTGGCTCTTTGAAAATATGACCAAACATAACAGAATATTTATTTGTCTTTTATACCCGCAACAGAAATTTGTATGTAAATATGTGATCAATCCGACTAATACAAAAAGTAAAACATGTTAGCTCATGCTAGCCTGTTGTTTACCTAAATAAGTCTTTCTATGATCTTTCTCTCAAATCCATCAGAATTACCTTTAAAATAATTTGAAGACTATAATAATAAGAATTTAAAAATATGCCTGAATAATTCAGTCGTACTAGTTTTTATGAAATTCCGTTTAAACTATATACTGTATTTTTTATGTTTACATGAATATGGTATTTTTAGTTGTTCTGATGTGTATAGTTATGAATAATATAATAACAATAACATTTTTTAAAGTTTTATAATGTCACCTCCACTGACCGTAAAACGTTCCCAAAAAGGCCTTGAAAAGGCCCACGGACCACCAGTTGATAATTACAGTTGTAGCTTGTTTTGCAGCTCCGGACACATTTTATTGGTGAGACATGGAGCACAAATGGCTCCTTTTGATCGTAAAGGTTGCAGACCCCTGGTTTATTTGAATAAAATGTTTTAATTGTTCAAACATAATGAATAAACGGGGAAGATGCTGCCAATAAGAAGCCATGTAGCTGTGATGTCATCACTCGCAGCTACGACCTCATCAAACTCTTGCTGAATATCTAAAAAAATGACTGAGTTTGAGCCATCAGCTGTGCCTTGAGCCGGACTCCAAAGGTTTATCTTGTAAATGCACATCAAATTAGAGATGGCATTAAAACCAGTCCAGTGGTTCATGAGATATTTTGCTAACAGGAACAGGCAAAATCTTAATCGTCCATCTTTGCCTCTCAGCAGCAGCAGGTATTAATAATAATCCTTCTGCTGTTTTATTGCACTGAAACATTTTTGAAAACCTTGGAGCAGTTAACGTTCTCTCTACCAGATAAGGAAAAAAAACCACAACAAGACAGCTGAACATGTTTTAACACCGTTCTCAAAATTTCCACTGCTAAATCCAAGTAATTAGAAATTTCAGGGATTTGGCCAAAATGAAAGTGAATTTTTTTTTTCCAACCACTGGTTCAGACAACTTTAACTGCACAGATTAAAGTCCTCAGGTCAGGTTTGTTATCCAGGTGTTGTGTTTGAAAGTGTTCACCCTGAGTTCTGTGACAGTTTTACGCGATGCTAAATGTCGACATTAAAGGCACAGTGTGTAGGATTTTGTCAATTCTTTTAGCCGAAATTGAGATAATCACTAATGATGATAATAAAAACATGTCTAATCATTGCAGACAAAGACCTTGTTTTATTATTTTTACCTTATAAAAAGCTGTTTATATCTCCATGGTCGCGGGTCGCCACTACAGGCAGCTGCCATCTTGTCTACGAAGGCTCATGAAGGACAAACTGCGGTGGCGGCGTCAAAAAACGGTTTTAGTTGTAATACTATAAATGTAATATTTGTTGTCTGTCATTGTAGCTGGGATAATTTTACTTATTAAAGCTCATAATCTTACCACTTGAAACATCACTAGCCCTGAAGTTGCTGGTAGACATTGTGGTTGGAATTATCAAAGGTTTTTGACACCTGAGAGACACCGTAGCAACTCCTTTGCRTTTGGAAGCGGGGGTGGGGGTGGGGGGAGGACCAGGGAGGATGATTCAACCACTCAACCACTAGATGTCGCTGAAAACAACAAATCCTACATGCTGTGCCTTTAAAGTCCGACTTTACTGCGAATATTTTGCGCTCAGAAAAAAGTCGTTTTATCATTTTATTGTCTTATTGGTCCTGCGTGAGAACCTGTTTTTACGCTTTTATTTAACAAATTAGAAATTTAGTGAAAAGTAGCAATTTGATTGTTTTTCCACTTTATTTCTTTTCTTTTGTCTAGAAGATTCTAGCAGTTAAAACTCTGATGCGTTAACCTGTCAGTAAGCACAGCAAACAGGAAATGTCTTCAAGATTGATTATAATAAACTCACAGTTCCTTTTCTTGCTGATAAGAGGTCCTTGACATTGATAAGCATTGTGGGATCAGAAAGCTGTTTTACGAAGTAATCTACTGTGACAAATTGGTTTTGGGGTCATTAGGCCAATAGGAGGTTTGTGTTTTTTTTCCATTTCCTGCCTTCTGTATCAACATGAGCTGATCCAGACAGATGGATGCAGGTGCGTTCTGCGTTTGACTTAACCTATTTTAATGTGCAGCGTTATCTCGTTCTGCAGCTCAGAAAATAGTTTTCTTTGTTTCACGTGATGAACTGAACATGTTGTTGGGCCTTCGTGTCAACAAACAGCCTTTTACAGAAAAAAAAAAGACATTCTCTAGTTCTGTACAACTTACAAATCACGCTGAGCCGGGCATTTTTCTGTTTGCTAAAATGAATTGGGGTACCTCCAAAACGTAATCAGCTCTAGTTGTAGAATCAATGATTATATCCTGGAAGTTTCATTAAAATAAGTCCAGAAGGTCATGAGATATTTCGCTAACAGACAGGCTACAAATAGTAAAAGGCGAAATCTGAAACAGAGCTCTTGTGCGATCTGTTATTACTTAGAATATGAGTTGTGGATGAGTCGGAGCTAATATTGGTCAGGGCAAACACAGCATAATCGTATGCCGCTTGCCTTTCAGCGGTGTGCAATCAAAACGCCGTAGGTAAGACAGGATTTCTGCCTGCCTGGAAGTAACTTCCTGCATGATTCACCGTCGGTGAAACATGAGATTTATTTTGTTGTTTTCTTTCTTTGGGCATAAGGGAGTGCAGCATCTAGACGATAATTTATTACCCGTACGGCGTTTCGATAGAAAGTCAAAGGGGTGAAAGCTTGCAGATGTTCCCTCTCTGAATCTGCTCGAGGTGCTGGATGGAAAAACGAACAAACAAACTTTTTTTTTCTGTAAAGCCATTAAAAGGTCGACAATGATTATTCTTTAATTTCATTTATTTTCATTGCTGGGATTGAGCAATAGATCTGTTTGTCTTGTAGTTTTATCAAGCGTTACCTCGCTCAGCTTCTTCATGTTGCAAAAATAAAAGGCAGTTTATCACTGAGCTTCCCACATATGTGCTTTTCTTGCAGTCTAAAAAAAGAAAGTTGGATGTGTGTTTTGAGTTGAATTTTATGGCTTTGATTAGATTTTATTGCCATAAAGCAATAATCTGAACTATCTAAGCAAATAAAGACAGTTAAAATATCCTTTCGTGGTTACTAGCAGAGCCTAACTCTTCCGGGTCAAAGGTCAAATAGTAAAATGCTGAGGTAATGAAAACGCCGTTGGATTTGTGCAAAATCAACAAGCTCAAACACATTTATTGCTTAGATATTTATGAAAAATCTCATCTTTGATCCTAAAGGAAAGTTTAACACAAATCAGTTCAGGGCAAATACATCAGGTCTGCATTTGTAACGATTTTTAACTGCGACATGCTTTATTAAATCCGATTCAAACACTTTGCTGAAGTTGCACTTTTCCTTTGACTGAATAAAGATGGTGCTTTGCGTGCACGTGTGCTGTACTCCCACGGCCACGAGGTGAGTTTTTAATTTAGGGACATCATTGATGGGAGAAAGTGTGAATTTTGTTTCCTACTTTATGATATAAAAATACAGACTTGGTTTTTATGACGGCAAAGAGCACCTTTTTAAGTAAATCCAAGGTTTTTTCTTTCCTGGAGTGTGCAGTTTGGTAAAGTACAGCAGAGAAACATGACAGAGTGTAAGACACAACGACATGATGGATTATACTGACTGCCTAAACGAGGTCAGGGAACATCATTATCGTGTACCGGTTCATTTTTACCGATGTTGACTCTGGAGCGGTGTGTTCTATATAAAACTGATGAGTGCAGCAGGATGTGTGGAGGAAATGAAGTCCTGGCGTACATGCTCACATCAAGCCTGAGGTTAATGTTTTTCGCAGCTTATGATGATTTGGTGAAGCAGAACAGCAGTCAGTGCAGAAAACTCCCATAAATACACCGAGTCTACCCATCACGGGTGCAGGGCGTTATTAAAATTCAAAATACAAAGGCGGACGATAACGTTTTTATCCGGGTCTGTGTGTCAAAATGAACGACCGTGTTTCTGTGAAAAGTGCAGAAAGTAATTATTGGATGAACATCTACGACTGATTAGTCAGTTTGATTTAAGATGGCTGCCACAGCCAAGAAAAATGCCTGTAAGTCAGTCATTTTTTTCAGACATTGAAAATTAGTGTGGTAAAAGCTGAGGCAGATCTGAGCGTCGGCAGATTGCACAAGATCTGCCGTTAACGATTTAGAGTCACCTATCACTGTTAGCAAAATATCTCATGAATCACTCGATACGAGAAATTCCTGTTTCGATTTGATACTTTCATCTCAGGGTTCGATAGTTTTTCGATACTAAAAAGAAATGTGCATGCCCTTCTTAACTTCTAATTTATTGAAATTAATTATGAACATTTGTATAACCTCAAAAGTACAGTTTTTATATTAAATGTTGCTGAAACGGCAAGTTTCTCAGTGGATCTGCGCTCGACAATGCAGCCTAGGTGGATCGAACACAGATCCACTGATCCTTCAACACAGCATCTTCAGAAGACAAGCTGATAAAATATGTTTTAAAAATCTGTATTGTTGGTTGAACCTAAAGTGCTGTATTGAACGGTTCAATCCAGATGCATGGTGAAACTCTCAGAAAAAGTTAGATGTACGTCTACAATGATTAACTTTTAACGTCAAACATTCAAGATGGCTGTCAAAGCTAATCGACATTAAACACAAAAATATCTATACCTCAATCAATTCTACACGATTAGGCTGAAATTCACTGTGATATCTGAGAGTTAGTCACAAAATACTCTGAGCACAAAATAACATTTTCAAGGTTTGACCAAAACAACTTTGCTCTCAACTCAG